AAAGAAACATAACATGCTAAATATGCTGAAGAAACTTCTCCTGGCTGCAGAATTATTTCAGAAATCTGGTTAATAGACTGCAAGATGGATGTACAATATAATCATTTTCTTGGGGGGGGAAAAAAAGTCAGTCTGCTTTTCCTAAGTATTTTTGGAGCTCAGCTACAACCTGAGAAGCAGCTCTCTCAGTTAACATAAAACAATAAACCATCATGAAGACAAAGTGTTTCAAATTCCACAGCCTGGTCTTAAACCTTCTCAGAAAGATAAGTTATTTCGTGTTGGATTTAAAAGTCTAAATCATATTTAAAGACCCTTACTTTCTAGCAGATAATTGCATTGTTAAAACCTTAACTACTCTGCTTTCTTCCATGATACTGTACATATTTATTTACAACTACATATGTAGTCATTGGAGAGGAAAACACATGAAAGCAAATCAACACAACTTTTCCTCAAATATTTCTTACCAAGAACAATAACTTAAGATAGTGTTCTTGCTTGTCTATTACAGAGGTAAGGAACCTTCTTATTCCATACATACACACACAATTACTCAGAGCTCCACAAGGCCTTCAAAATGGGATTTTTTTTTAAACTAGGTAGTAAAGGCTACAGCTCACTGTAGGGCAACTCGCAAACAACTGATGCTATTCTGCATCCTAGGCCACCCCCAGAATAAGATCAACTATCATAATGACACACAGCTTATCTGAAACTACCATAGGGAATGCAAGGATGATTCTGAAAGGCAAAAAGTATGTGGCCTACCCCAAAGGCAACTGATGTTAAGGGTGCTTTGTGGAAATGACAGCGTTCAAGCCTTTTCCCGCATGCAAAAAAAAGTGGTACCTTCCCTATTAGGCATTTTACTTCATTTCTGACTTGTTTTCATTCTTCATAGATGTTTTGCATGCCATGTTTCTGCCTTCTTCAGTAGCTCTTAGCCCTTCTCTTCTATGTCGATACCTATTGAAAAGATCTTTTTTTTTTTTTTTTTTTCCCTCCTTCCTCCCATGATGTTTCTAATACTTTCCCAGGTGTCCCAAATAATATGTTTGATCAATGGACTTAATATTGTTTCTCCACCAAAAGAAATTTTTAAACATAAATAATGGATTTTTCTATTTTTACATTTTACATCACCAAGCCAATTTTAAATGAAAAGAAACGGTTGGATACATACTCCATTTTTTAATTGGCACCTGTCATTGTTTTATCTTGTATGGACAGCACTAGAATCAATATGATTTATTTTCTTCTACCTACCACCTCATTACTTCAGCAATAGGCTGGTAACTATTCTTCCTCCTTTCTGAGCACAAAAAAACACCATTAAATTCCACTATATTTTATGCCAAGTTGTTCTCCTCCACTTTCTGGAAGATCTTCAGCTTTGTATTTCTAGTACAAAAACATCTATCCTCAAAAAGGCTGCTTAAAGAGGCTTCAGCTGCATTTCTTATTCCTATATAATTTAAGCCCAAATCCCTTCATTTTCTTGGAGATAAATGTGTACATTTCACAATCAAGATTCTTATATTCTATATTCTTAAAAAGCAAGATCCAGATGGGTAAGCACACACAGTCAGGCTATTGCTTAGTACTTAATTACCATTTTTTCAGTCACATCTGGAAAGTGAGCATTAAAGACCTTCAAAATACTCTTTTTAACCTTTAATGTAAAGGTCCCAGAGAGCATAGAAGACTCTCTACCCAAATATCTCCTTCAGAACAGGACACAAAGCTATAGATTAGTCAACGTAATTCTTTCCTCCTACCATCCCCCTCCACCAGAGGGAGAAGGAGAAAAAAAAAAAAAAAAAAAAAAAAAGTGAATCCAGGCCCTTTAAGTCTTCAGTGCAGCTGCTAGAGTCCTCTTCTGAGCAGTAGGCTCAAATACTCCCTACCATAGCAGGCTAAGGGGCTGAATCTGTATTTTGCACTTGCTGGAGCACTGGTTGCACAACAGTCCCATGTTTAGACTAAACAGGCAGCCATTCTCAGCTACTATTTGATCCAGTTTTTCAAAGATTGGAGAGGTCTATTCAAAAAGGGAACCTGAAACCTGATAAAGTGAGGAATCTTATCACCTGCTCTGAAGAGAAGCTTCAGGAAAGGATGAATTTTAAGACAAATCTTTCATTATCTGTTAGTCTGAATATTTTTCTGCCCAAGTATACATGTCTTTTGAATAGCAATCCTTAACCTGAGAAACCTATGACTCAAGATAGAGGATTCTGCTATAGGCCAGAAAATCTATTTGCCTATTTCCAGTTAGGCATTGTAGCACTCAGCTTTTAAATCTTTACCTACAAATTAGAAACTGTAGCACAGAAAAACTAAAATGGAGGTTAGTCTATTCGTTTTGATCAAATCCTTTTTATTAAAAAAAAAAAAAAAAAATCATGAAATCAGGAATCATGAAAATCAGAATTGTAAATTCAACCAAAACTAAGGCTTGCAGTGGTCATTCTGAGCAATGAGCTCTAATACATGATTATATACAAAGGTGTCCATAGCATATTGCAATTTCTTATCATGGAAGTTCTCACAGACCAAAATTCAAACTTTGCACATGAAGAATGTCACCTCAAATTCTTGTTCAATACTCACACAAAGCCTGAAGAAAGCACAAGGAACTCACATTTAAGCGTTTTAAAATAACCAGATGTACAAAAACTTTCCTAGTGACATTTCACATAACAAATATATATATAGCAGATACACCAAAAGAATGCAAATATGAAGGAAAGGTCTAATGACAAATTAGGCTGAAACTCCTACATCATCCCACAAAAATTAGTCTTGACAAAGACATTTCTTTCAAAATGAATCATGCTGTGAAATTAAATTCCTCTTAACGTTTTTAGAAAAAAGCTTTTCCAACTTTCTGAACTTTGCTCTGATGACTCAAAATGAAGGTTTTTTTTATATAAAGTAGGATTAATGGATGAGTTTCGCAGGCTTATCTGTGCTGATAAGAGGCATGAAAGATTTATTCAAAACTTGAGTTGCACACCAAGTGCAATAACTGAACAATACAGCTTTTTCAAAAGTTGGTAATATGAACATGGCTTTGGACAGAAGATAGGAAGTCAGATAATCTTGCACTATTAATATTTGTGTGTTTAATTAAATATAGCTCAAAGAATCATAGAAAGCAACTAATGAGTGATGTCTTAAACACAGATAAGTTCTTGTAAATAAACTATCCTTGCAGTTTTCTCCTTAGAAAACAGCATAATTTCCAGCCTGTTAAGCCAGTTTAATCATGCTACTCAGTTTCCAGTGAGAACAGAGTTTAGACATACTTACATTTTTCCTTATTGCTGTTACTGTTATGTAAAAAATCCCCATCAGAACGCATTGTAGGGAAGTCATCATCATCTTCTACCACTAAATTTGAAAGAAAATTAGTGTGAGGAAAGAGAAAACCTTTTCCTAAATTGTTTAGTGAGCAAGAAAAATTACAAGCATCTTCACAGCTAAGCAGCACTTCAAGTAACTTTTACAGTTTATGGTTACCAACACCCTCTATTTCTGAGGTCACTATCAATATTATGGTCAGAAGCCATTAGGAGTAGAGTATTTGCTCAGTCTGAATTTAGCCCTCAAGTAAAGAGAAAACCATCTCAGAGGTATGACTGGATAAGCAAGGAGCCATGATTCATCAGATATCTGTTCATCAGATATCAGTTTGGAAAAGAGAAAACAAGTAGAATCGTACTTATCTGCCTGACTGCCAGAGCAAACTCAAGGATGAATAGAAATGCCTCAGGAAAGGCATTTGACACAAATATGACAACAAGCTGTGTTCTGAGGAAGGAGGGGAAGGGGGAAAAGAGAGAAAGAGAAACACAGGCATTCTCTATCAAATCTGTAAGGATCTCAAACAGGTGAAATTGCATTGATCGGAGCTAGTGTACTATGCATCTCAGGAGGCTTGGCCTTATGAAAGAATGAATCCTAGTGATTAATATCCTACTGTTTTTGTGACAAACCAATAAGAGATACAGCAGTGAACTAACTTGAGTTCACCTTCCAGGTTTAAGCAGCTACCCCTCAGTAAAATCAAGCGCTTAAAAGAACATGATTTCAGTAAGGCTGACAGCAACAATTTAGTAAGCAGATGCTCATGAAAATCCAACTTCAAAAATGAAAACAACTAACACTGTCCCTGTGGAAATATCTATGACTGCTCATTTTGCTAATTAGTAAGTTTAAGGTACTTATCTCTACATGAGATCAAACTACTTCAATGGCTATTGTTTACTGTGTAACAAGTTAGATTCTACAGAGTTAGCATTTTCAATTAAACTTTTACCTTTATCCCTCTGGAGTTCGTCTTTGGAAACTGCATCCGCACAAGCATCAAAATATTTCTGTAAAGTATCAACTTGTCTACACAAGATGTCTCTGAAGGTTTCCATTTCTGCAAGCTTCTCACGTAAGCTATGACCCTTCTGAAAATACAAGGGAGAGCCTTGAATGCTTCTATATAATTAGGAGTAGCTCAATGCCTAAGTAAAAATAATAAAAAAAAAAATATAGCTTTTTCCCAACTATGGGGAACAACTTCTTCAGATACACTAAAGCTATGAAACACTGTCAGCATTTACAAAGCGTTAGCATTAAAAATGTATTTAAGTGAATACAAGCGCATTCATTTTGCCCACTGGTCCTATTTTTTTCCTCCTAACTGCATCTGCTACTTCAGAGCATTCTACAAAAGCTGGCAGAGATCTTGCACACTATCACATTTATACCAGCTTGCCTGAAAGCAATCAGCTCCAGCGTAAAATCTTTGTTACAGAGACTAATATTTTCCTCCTTTTTGCACTGTTTCGCCACTGCTCATTTGCCAGAAGTACAGCCTGCCCAAGCTCAAGTGTTAAATATTTATATGCACCGAAACAAAGGAGAGCCATCATTTGACAGCTAGCATAAATCATATTTGTTGAGTCAAGGAATCGGCACTCTTTCAGTCATAAGCCCTGCTATTTGCAGAAACACGGTAGGTTAATTCCTCCTACAGGTTCGATTTTCTTGCCATTGGAAGATGACACCATTTTAAAAGGCACAACTGCACAGAGGCATGTGAAAGCTTCTTGTATCATCTGTCCAGCATCACATGCTGAATTACTAACATTTATAGTAAACCCAAGATATGGGTTACTGGTTTTATATTTTGATAATTGTGAGCAAGTCTTCACGTATTTGAAGTTATTGCCTTTTCAGCTACATAAATATCTTATTTACAAATCAATACTATGAAAATATTAGTCGCTAACCTTGAATGAAGAGGTAGATGTTGCAGAGTATCCACTTGCTCCAGAAACAAGAGAGACTATGGATCCATGTCGTCGTAAACTTGACTCTGATCCATAGCCAGACTCAGTCTGAAATAAAGACCAAAAATACCAAACTAGAATGCTAGGCTTTTACCGAGAGAAATAATGAAAACAGGATTAATGACATTTTCTCTAAAATAGAGGCATTCCTTCCAGAAAGTGGCAGAGGCTTAGTACTGCAAATTTAAAACTATAGTTCATGTAGCACTTATAACGTTACTATGAACCCACATTATTTGATACCATAATGAACTGAAGAAAATGCTTATCTACAATCTATCATGTCCTCCCTAAAGAGGGAGGCAAACAAATAAGGCCTTAAAAAAGAAGATAGTTTATAGGGATTACAGATAGCTAAAGGATAATTTCACCTAGCATTCCAAAGAACTACAGCCCTCTACAATTAATCAAAGGATTAACATCATTCCAGTTTGAAAGCAAATGGCCAGAGGCAACCCTTCAGTCATTCAAATGTTGCCACATCATTGCAGCATTTTAAAAAACAGCAAAATAAGCCTTTTTCCAGACTTGAATATCTTTTGTGCTAGACTTGAATTGTTTTGATAACAACGAGCATATAAATCTACATAAAGCAATGTATAATACTTAAAACAAAAATATAATAAAAATATACAGACAAAAACATATCTCATTATTAAAATAGTATGAAAAAGTTCAAAAACTGATGTTTGATTTTTTTTTTCTTCCATAAATGAAGCCACAAATGGATATTTAGGAACTGGAAGAAAAAA